GACATATTACCATGCTGGACCTGTCCTGGTGGTAAGGCCAGGGGCTAGTGTGGACCAGAACACATCTAGGGATACTCTTTTTGGAGACTATCCAGATGTTTTTTAACTGCGCATGAGCCAGGTCAGTACACTTGGTGCAAGTGGTAGTGACAGAAACGAGTGGGGAGGGATGAGGGGAAGGGGCTTATTAACCCACCAACCATGAATTATTAGACTAGATAAAAAAAAAAGTTTCTCAGTTTTTCTGTATTTTTAGGCGCCAGATAAATTTTCCCTGGATTCTTAGAGCTACCACTGACCGAGCCTTTATAGTTTGGAGAAAGATTTCGGTCCATCACATCAAGTGGGATTCAACCCTGCACCGGCTGGTAATAGGCTACACATAGGTGTATCTATGTACCATAGCACTTCACCACCCAAGAATTAACTGGGCCAAAGGTCACTTAACCAATGTTTCCACATATTATCCACTTAAATATTAGTTTTGCAAATGACTCTAGTTTCTTGCTAAATTGCATAAAAATTTACATCATAATTGCATGATTAAGCACTAATTGTATCGTGAAATGAACAAAATTTTATGTGAGACTCACGGTAAGATTGTATAAATTTAACACGTTCTGTTGAAAGAATCTTAGGTATTTACGTGAGAAATTGACTTTTTATGCAATTTATTTCAACACGAGCAACATATCCGAATGCATTATAATTCTGAGCATGTGTAATAAGTTTCCTGTCTATAATTTGTAAAAGTCAAGGACAATGAACAACTTTAAAAGTGTTCTACAAATAGTTCACATTTTGCATTCCAATGAAATCAAAGCTCTTGGAGTTAAGACATTAATATTCATTATTTCTCATTAATATCCATAACTAATGAATATTAAATAGGTAATATTCAGTAATCTAATCAAATTAAATATTTGAATTGCTTATGTTATAAAGTTAAGCTTTCAATGAATATTAAAAATAGAATACAAAATTATTTACACATAAATAATACAAATATCTATACAATATAGACCCTTAATTTGGCTGGCAGACAATATCATAATTTGTATAGTATAGAGTGAAAATTAGCAAAAATTTAATTTTTATTTGTATCTCGTTGGAAGTTGATAATTTAATTGATCACTTTAATTAAGCAATTCATTGTTGGAAATTATTTTTTGAGGGGTTTTCCCAAAGTTTATCAAAGAAACACATGGATATAGGCTCTATACATCTGCTATTTGAATGAATAGACTACATTCATGAAACCACAACATGTACAGTATTTAAACATTCCATACTTCCTCTGCTAAGGAAGTCATTGCTATTTAAGTATTCCTCAAGCGGGTGCGTATTTATCTGTATATTTGCATATTCGATATCAGATTAAACAATGTGATTATTGTCAGAAGAGGAAGCAAGTATACACTAAATGTTAAATACCACCAATTATTCTGCAATACATGTTTTTTCGTGTTAAGGATTACTATAATTAGTTCTTATCCTCTTAAATGTACTTTTTATTAACACGAAACATTTGATTTTGGATCAATATTTAAATTCATGTAGAATATTAAAAACCTCTCAAAAGTACCTATGAAAATACAAATAAGTCATGGATCCTCCTTGATACTGATTTGAGCAGACAGCAATACTTATATTATTTTTTTACATAATAATTATATATACTCATTTCTTTTTTCAGAAACGAAAACAAATTAGGAAAATATGTTAAACAAACAAGTAGGGAATTTTTGACTGCACAACGACGATAGGACGTAGAACGTAACGATGTCACTCAGTAGATTCTGGAACGCAATTTGGCCAAATCTATGTATGCAGAGAACGTAGGACGCCAGGTAGGACGGTCACGCATGAGTGATTCCGTTCTAGTGTCACATCGTCGCACAAACCGAAAGCTCCCTAATGATAAAAGCATGGGAATGACTATCCATCTTTTCACGTTTATGTGAAATGGTTATCGTTCATAATTTTGGTATGGTGCTTCAGATATTTTCGGTATCGGTGAGATACATTCATTAGCCTTGAAGGGGCATTAGAAATACTGATGTGATCTTGTGATATGTGGACTTGTAACGTAACCACACCAACATCGCTGCCATGGCCGAAAACACAGTGCTATGAACAGGTTACATGAATGCACTCTACTGAACTTTGTATCACTTTACATGAAAACATCTTGATAATGTAGGCCTGCTGGTCATGTTCAACATTTGACGGAATATAAAAACACAGGAAGTATGTATCAAGCTGTATTCCATAGCCATGTCGGAACGAAGGACCAGAAAGTGCTGTTACGCATCACCAGGCTCTGTTTATGATCAAATGTCATCAATAATCCATGTTCCAGACATTAGAATGAAACCTGGAATTCCTTATTCAATCATATTTGATGAAAACTGTACAATGTATGTTTGTAATAGTCAGAAAATCCATTTGTAAACAAGTTTTTCATGTCGAAAGTGTATGTAAAGGATATTTGCTCCCTTTCAATAAAATAAAATTTAAGCTACCTGTATGTATTCTGTGCTGTATTATCTTGCATTGAAATGGGTATAAAGCTGTCATCCTTTGGGCTGGCACAGATGAAGAGGTAGTAAAACAAAAATTTAAAATATAAAAACCAAAAATGAATTGCTTGAGATTAACAAACGAATGAATAACTGATCTTTAACACCACAATACAAATTGACTAACATTAATTATGAAACAAAAGTTGATTAAAAAAACAACCAAAGGACAAACATACAAAGTTTGTACATCAGTAAATAAGTCTCTCTTTTAAAAATACTTAAAGTAAGCAAGTATGCATACAATTTCAGGTTTATTGAAAACCAGAAATGGTGCTCACTACTTTTCGGGCAATTTTTTTACATCATTCATAATGCCTATCTAATTGTTGAATATCTTCCGGAATTTAAAGATTGAAGACCTCTGCAATAGCAGACTCTGAATAAGCAATCTTCACCATAAATATATTTCAGGTACCTCCAAAATTAATGTATAGATTCATCATTTATAGCAAATAGAACCCTACCCAATTTACAGGCCCAGCTCTGTGTAAAGGAAAATGTTTTATGTGGGAGAAGTACCGGAAACAGGGTAAGAGTAGCATATGTGGTTGAACAGATGGGATTTAAAAAACAAGCCTAATTGAATCATAAATGGAAGAATCAATTGATAGAGAGTGTAGGGTCATAATTGAAAAATTATGATCGCAATAATAATGCAAAAAAAAAATACTGTTGAAGTTTAAATAAAAATATATATGCTTTCGAAAAAAAAAGTAAAATTAGAGGCTACTTAAGATTTAAGTGATCCTATTCCCAAATGGAGGCAAAATGTATTTTGCACTTCCCTCTAGGTTCAGCTGTAATTAAAGCTCCATTCCCGGCAAAATTTCACTAAAAAAGAATTTCTTTAGAAAAAATGCATATGTCATTACTCTAATTATTATAAATAATGGGAAAATATTGGCATAAACTTTAGTTTTATGCAAAAGAATAAAAAATACAAACTATTTCTCATAGGAAATTACCATTTTCTCGACGAATTCTTTGTTACTAGGCAAATTCAAAGGTTGGAGATCGCATCCGCTGGAATACTCTCGCTTTTATGTATACTTTATATAGTCAATATAGTGCGCCCTCTCTGATGAGATTAGTTTTGTACTTCGCATCTCGCACACTGCGGTTGATCGAGCAGGCCTGAGATATGTTTGTTTAACTGTCAAAATCTCAGTCAGAATCAGTTTTTTTAACAAATTTGAAATAATTCCTATGAAGTATTATATTTCACAAGTGTCAATACTAGCAACGGAAAATATCATGTCGGCCGCTTTTATGTGTGATAACAGAACCTAAATGGAGGTAAGGCTAGGCCTAGTCTAGCAGTGTTGGATTGGCTAATGTTTTTGGCACCTACTATATTTCTTTGCAGACCTATTGCAAAATCAAACATGAAAAATTCATCCGCATTTATTTCAAATTTCAGTCTCGTTTTACATTTTTTTCATGTTTAGGAATGTCTAAATTCAGTTAAACTAGCAATTTTGTATTATATTTATAAATCTTTATAACATGTACAAAAATCAGATTTTTCTTAACTGAAATTTTGCCGAGAAAATGGGGCTTTAAGTATTTTAAGTTGTAGAGCCTACAGTACTTGTTTTCTAATTTGGATTTTACATATTTGGATTAAAATTCAGAAATAAAAGTTGAACTGAATTACAGTTTGCTGCCCCCAATGCTCTCCTAGTTAGTACGCAGAAATCAAGCATTTTATTCCTTCATAGTGACCTTACTGAAAATCTAGTGCATCGTAACTTTCAAGAATTCCATGATTTTGCCAGGAATGGGGCTTAAAGTATTTTAAGTTGTAGAGCCTACAGTACTTGTTTTCTAATTTGGATTTTACATATTTGGATTAAAATTCAGAAATAAAAGTTGAACTGAATTACAGTTTGCTGCCCCCAATGCTCTCCTAGTTAGTACGCAGAAAATCAAGCATTTTATTCCTTCATAGTAGACCTTACTGAAAATCTAGTGCATCGTAACTTTCAAAAATTCCATGATTGAATTTTACACTTCAGGGCGTCTTGATGAGCTAGTCATAAATTCACGCTTAAATTGTTTAAACTTTGGATCCCGTCCAAACTTTTTTTTATCCATTCATAGCGGAAAATCTTAAATCGTTCATGCGTAGAATTAGAACTGCTTTTACGTAAGAAGATCCTACCTTTAAATACTGATAAATTTGTTGTCATACCAAAAAAAAAAAAAAAAAAAAAAAAAAAAAAAAAAAAAAAATGTTATTTTTATCATTTGAAGGAATAGTAGTGTTTCCTTTTGAAAATATTTTTTTCTCAGTTTAACTTTTTCAATTGTCTTTAGAAAAATATAAAATTATTTATGGATGAATGCAGATATTTTTTGGAATAACACAAAACCAAAGTATCAGACATTAAAAAAAAATTAGGAATTACTTACTTTGAGCAGTATATACAGGATTCGTGGAAGAGTCTTCCCTTAATGTATGCACGTTCTCGTCCAACCGTGAAACCGCACAAGCTACATATTCCCCGTGCTGACCCACCTCGCTGTCTAGGTTTACGGCTTAATTTACGCACTTTTTCTGACCCAGTGCGAACAAGGGATCCATCAAATGTCATGTTTTCTTTATTCTTATATGGGTCACTCCAACTTCGTTTGTAGAGTGGTTTGCGCTTCACCGGAGGACCAGAACGTCTACGATCATCCTTCGGTAGGGTAACACGTAAAACCTCTTGGAAGGAAGACTCCTTATTAATAACTCCATTAGATTCCAAGCTTGTCACATTATCAAACCAAATTTCATCACTCTCGCAACTTATATCCGAGAATCGAACAGTAATATCTGACCGTGGACTTTGACTCTTGGACGAATTTGATGCCTTGAGAGCAGTCTTTGGCATCTCCTCTTCTTCCTTATTTTTGTGATTGTCATCCTTATTTTTGCGGCGTAAAGAAAACAAACGTCCAAAAACTGAGGTAGAGTGGGGAGTTTTTGGCATTTTCTCGACGTGTACGTTATTTTTCTCCTGTGACTTTCCTTTTGGATTTTCGTGCATTTTGTCGAGTTTGTCCGCGGGTTCTATCCCACTGGCAGCTGACGCTTCTCCTTTCTTCTCTGGGGATGCTGAGTCACACTCAGTGGCCCTGACGTTGAAATTATCCTGCTGATTCAATCTTGCTGTAAGTATATCATTCGACTTTCCTGTTTCAACTGATGTCACCTTTTCAGCGGCTGGCAATTTACTCAAAGTTTGCTTATTAGGCATCGACTTCTGATTGGATCCTGGACGTGATCGCACAAATGGAATATGATCGGAGTTTGTGACCTCAATTGCAAGCGATTCTCCAATTTTAGCAATAGAAACTAAATCAGGATTATTTTCATCTGAAAATCTATTCGTACTAGATTGGTTTGATTCATCATTTTTTCGTAGCATGAGTGGTGAGGACAATAAACTTGTGGGAAACTCCGGGTCCGAATCAAAATCCTGCGGAACAAAGAAGCAATGATCTAAGCTACAATGGCGAGGGGGTTGAAATTTCTCCTTCGCTTCCCAGAAACGTTGTGTTCTACCGTCATTCATACTAGTCGAACGTTGATATTCCTCTCTTTTTGGTTGGCTGTAAGCCAAATTACTATCAAACACTGAATCCTCAGATAAAACTTGTTGCAGTAAATTCCCACTTGGGCCACCAAGATCGAGATGAAGTTCTTTACGATTACCGCCTTGCTGTTGTATTTTACGTAAATTTTCATTTGAGGGTTTTACTTTCAGGCCATCAGTATTTTCGTTTAAAATTTTTTTTGTGTTGTTGTTTGAAAATTCACCCGCAGTCAGCAACTGGTTGCTACCGATATCGGTATCATCTCCAGACGAACTCGACCGGGAAGTAACGGTTCTTGGGCGAAGCATGTGTACAGAATTGCTGCTTGCACCCCATCCCATGTGACTTGTTTGATACGAGTATTTCCTTGGAATAAATGGTGATTCATTCCGCGAGCCATTTTTCCCACGAATAGAAGATTCCGTCAAACACTTTGCAAGCATCTGTCCGTTAACTGCCTCGTCAAAGGTCATAACATGTTTCGCGTCACTTTCTGAATTGGATCGACCAAATCTGTGAACTGGGAATGTCTGCTGCGAGCCTGAATTCCAAAAGTGATCATGAGGTGTTCTGACCATGGGACCACTTCCACAACTGTCCGATATTGACCGTCTTAGCACCTCTGGTGGTGGCCCGGCATACATTCTGCGTGGTCCCAAGTACTGTGTCTTCCTCACTTCCATTTTTGGTGATGAATTGAAGGTTACAGTGACTAAATTACTCTGCATTGGTTTGCTTTGCAGAAACCTGAAAAATACAAAGATTCATGATTCCATTTACTGTATTTTCATAAAATTCAAGTACAGTACATGAAATTTGTTTTCCTGAGCTGGGAATACACAAAATATACATACAAATTAAATTACAAGACAAAATATTTAACATATCACACAGTGCATAAAATATCCAAATTACAATTCAATTCAATAAAAGACCATCTAAATGCTTTGAGTTGTAATTAAATGGCCAAAATTAGAGATTAACTATCTTGTGAATACTTTATTATCTGTATATAGACGAAAGGCATATATGGCAAAAATTAGGGTTTTTTTTGTTTTTGTTTTGTTTTGTTTTTTGTTTTTGTTTTTGTTTTTGTTTTTTGCTATTACAGACGATTTCTATCATTCTATAATTCACATATTTCAACAATTGCAACAAAACTATAAAGACAATATCATTCTTCTATTTAATGGAACTATATTAGGTTTATTCTCAATTATTCATTAGTGAGAATAAAAAGAAATAAAAAAATTACAGCTCATTGTTAGATAATAATGTATTATATTTTTATATAATTAGTGGTGGAAATTCTCAAAAAAACTAAAAATAAATCATCAAAACTTCATGATCAGCGTCACCATTTATTACAAAATTAAGACAACTTAAGCTGGGCATTTACTATGTCATACGCAGATTGCACAAGTCATACAGTGGCGTATCTAAGGGGTGCACACACCCCTCCAAAAATTACTCGCGCCCCCCCCAGTCACCCCCAAAAATCACTTGCAAGTAGTTAAAAATCACCTAAAATCACCTTATTTTGTGATATTGCACCCCTCAACTGATCATCGAGCCGCCCCACTTCACCTTCGCGCCCTCCCATCAGCACCCCCATTTTAAGACGTCTAGATACGTCACTGCCGTCATATGATGAATCCAACTTCGCTCCCTGTAAGTGCTAAATGACTCGACACCATCTGATGATTATCAGTGGCTGTCCGAAAGGACTGTCATTAAAAATGATACGTTGGATTGTTGTGTTCCCCATAAAATCGCGTCGCAGTGAGAGCCCGTCTTAAGAAGTTAGTTTTTATTTTAGTTAAATGTGTGTCATATGAAAGAATCACCATCATTTTCATCATTATTAATCATCATTATTATTATTCATAATTTTATTTAACTCAAGAAGAGAGTTTGAATCTTAAACAGTTCCCAAATTTAAAGCAACAACGTTTATTATAAGTAATAATATTATTATAAATCAGGCAAATGTATACATTTCATTATACTAAACATAGATTAAAGAAAGCCTACATACAGATTTTTATAATGTATGCTTAATATCAACACATAATATTATCATTACATAACAGCTATAGGTAACTAAATTCCAACCGGCTTTTATATCCCATAGCAACTTTATGTCCTAATATGGATATCCTTCGCTATTAACACCTGTTGTGTTGATTGCATTGTGCTGCGTTATTCTCTGAACAAACATTACACAATTATCGAAATCAGACATTTCAGTAGGATCTGAAATCACGTACCGTATACTTAGTCACATGGCAAATACGTTGCAGACAATCCACTAATGACAAACAGGAATATAGGAGTATCGATGTCAAGTTCTAATGTTTTCATGTCTTTGTGTTTGCGAGCAGTACGAACACTTGCGGAAGTCAGGGATGGTCGAGATTATGGTACATGTAACCGACTAAATTAATGCTATTATTATTTTTCTTATGGTTTATTGTCTAAGTATATTATGTCTAGGTTCAATTGTTTTTCATGTATGACTGGACAATGTGATTTGATTAAATTTAACCAACTGACATCAAAATATACTTCAAGGGAAAAGAACTAATCCTGTAGTTCCTCTCGAAATAAGCCCACCTCCTTTGACCACAAAATTTAGAGGGTTGGCTTACACCCAGAGAATCCCTTCTTCAACCACACTGTAGTCAATTTCTTGGCATTTCTTAGCACTACATGCATAATTTAAAGCCAAGCTTTCTTTCGTTTTTTTGGAGAGTTCAGCAAAGCTACCGAGTCCAATCATAGCCTGGGCTTTTGCCCAAGGAAAGGCCGGTACAATAAATTGGGCTTTTACATGAGGTGAACTTACACCTGAGGAACTATAGCTGCAGGCCTCTAAAGGAAATTGCCATAACTTTGACCTATGAAAGCATATCAAAAAACCACAACCGGTTACATCTATTTAGTTCTATTTCTTCCTTGTTCCCTCTTAGGGCCTACTATTTATTCCATCTTGTTCAATCTTCTTGTTGTACCGCCATATTCCCTTTCCTTGGGCCTCCATAATCTTATTGTCCTTCTTTCTTGAGCCCCTTCATTTTCTCCTCCTTGTGCACCTTACTTTTCCTTCTTCCCCTTTCAAATCATCCTTTCTGTTCTCCATCAACGCTTCCCGATTTTTATAAACTAGATATAATCTGATAGAATAATATCATATCTAAAATAATTTGAAAAACTGAATTCAGGGTTTTCTCTCCTTTTTTTCCCTCAATCACTTTTTCTATATTATTCCCAATGGCAACGCAGCCTTTAGGAAAGCACCTCCCTAGTGACAACCTTCAGGGTAAACATACGTTCTAACCTTCTCGATTCCATTGGAAGTCTCCCATGCAACCTCAGGTCTCCAAAAATTTTGTCAAAGTCTCCCGAAATTTTGTCAAATTCTCCCAATTTTTAAAAAAGAACCCCAAATTATCCATAATGGCTAATTAGTGACTTTTTGATACCAAAATTTATGTGTAATTTTTCCTTTGTGCATGCCGACTTTATCAATGTTTTCGGCGTACAAAGGCTTTCCTAGTATTACCATAGTATTAATCATACCTCAAAAAAACAAAGAATGCATCCATGAAAAAGTTTTGAACATTTCGGGGGATGGGGGCGCATTTCACAAGGGCACACCCCTCCAATCTCCCAAAATTTAAGGAGGGGAGAGGGGGTTGGAAAGTCTAGGTAAAATAACGTTTTCATATTCCATGAATATAATTAAGATGTATGGGTGAGGACAAACAGTACGTGAAGGACTAAAGAACAGACTCCACCCACCAAGGACTATGCTTACATAGGAGTTAGCCTTGGTGTAAGTGGCTGAGAGTCGATTCAAGATTGTGGCCTACATCTATTTCTACCAACATCCTCTGCTCTCATTGAAATGACTGAAATTACGTCACAATCGACATATCCACTAATTGCTATTAATTATTTTGTTATCTTGCTTATCAGCTCTATTTCCGCATAGTCTCCAATGTCTTAACAGCTTCCTAACCATGTTGGATTTAAATCGCAAACGGAATCATTTCGACAGATCTCATTTTAGAATAATGTATATGAAATCTCCTTATTTAAAATTAAATGAAAAAAATACTGAAACAAAAAAAAATAATGCTATTAGAAATTATAGTAATGGCTGTTGAGATACAAAACAGAAAACCAAAAGAACAACAGAGTTTATCCCAGACTTTTTGGAAATCACTGGTTCCTTTTAGAATTGTACATAAAAAGTATATGAAGTATAAGTAAACTTATGCCTAGTCTTTCTGTACACATATTTTGTACAGAGGCCTATATACAATTATAACTGTGACAGTGAATTTTTACTGTGAAGTAATCAGGCCTGATTCTTGACATTATCAATGTTCTATAGATGAAATATAAGAAATGGTCTACAAAATACGTAAGATTATTAATTTAATATACATATTCCAGGCCCATAACCATGGTTCATGATAATGGGGAAGAGGGTTCCTACAGTATAAGCCAAGTTTACTCATAATTGTTTCATTAATAAACGAAGTTATGATAAAATACTATATTAGTAAACTCGTCAGGATCCCCAAACTCCCAGGTTACAGGCCTGTATTTTAAAATAAAATTTTTTTTTTTAAATATCATACGGAAATTAAAGAAATGTATTTGTTTCTTTAAAGGATTTCAATTTACATTATTACTACACCTGTATCGTATTAGTTTACTATAACTTGACTTGACCTTGTTAGTGTTTTCCGAGAAAAAACAATACAATTAAAATTTTATACAATAATAGCAAACAAAAATTCATTAAATTACTTTATCTCAGATAATTTGAAATAACAAAAATATTAAAGGGGGAAAATTGTTTGTATCTTATATTTGGAATACCACTCACTGTTCATATAGTTGTAGGTAGAGTAGGTTTACAATTCCGTAAAATAAAATCACACTTCAAACAAAAAACATCAAGTTGCTATTTATTCTCAGACATGTTGTCTGTGGTATTGATGATCATGTGACCCTTGGTCATGTGATCACATCAGACATTGCAGAACCTAATTTAAGACCGACAGCAGAAACTGACCATAAATCGTGAGCACTATCAGATTTGTAAAGACATATCGAGCAAAGGTTCATTCACTCAATTTCCCCGATGATGTGATAAAACTATCAATGGCATTAGTGATCAGATTCATAATCGCACAGACTGCCTAAGGATACGTTAAATAGGGAGAGTCTATCACACGACAAATTTGATTCAAACCTATTTATTCAATATAACTAGATCTACCATTACTATAATATAATAACTTTATTTAATTATTTAAGTGCTTGTAATACCCAAAGTGTGATCTACAAGGACAATGATTGGCATAAGCCTTCTTGTCATTTCAAGTGCACATGCACATGTTAAAGTTCAAACATTCAAATAGCTTGTATTATTGTTTGCATTTTAAGATATTATTACTTGACACTTGCTGAGCTTCATAGCATCTGCATATAACTACCAATCTTTAAGAACTAATACTAAACATTAACAGATGTGTCATTATACGGTTTTTAATTTGTATGCCTTTACCTTTGACAAACTCACTTGAATCAATAAGAAGTAATATAGGCCTAGAAAAAATATTAAATGTGTATATTGGTAACATAAAAATATTAATCTCTAAAATACAAAATAAGAACAAATTCATCTGGTTTTTAAATTTTTGAATGAATAAACAAGAAAAAACTGC